TGAGGGGCGAAGGAGGCCCTCGGGGTGCCGCCGCCTCGGTGCCCGTGGTGGGTCTGTGCGAGTGCCCCGGAGGGTTGCACCTGGGGAGTTGGGTGGTGGGGGCCAGCAACGTGGCCTGGGCTTGCCTGGCCGGGACGGAGGCCCTGTTTCAGTCACGGTACCCGGGGGCTGGCGTGAGGGTCTGGGGGGGATGCGGACCCAGTCCTCCTTACGGCAACTGACCTACCTAGGCATAGGAGATCCTTTCCTTAGGTAAAGGCCGCAAAACTTTTCTAGGCTTAGTGTGCTCTGCAGAGGTGAAGTAAAGACTTGCCGATTTAATCGGGCCTCTCGCTGGTTATTTTATGGCCGCCTCTAAGCAGTCACTAATAATTAGGAGGGTTTAAAAAAAAACTTTTCATGCTCCCATCTAAGATAATGCAGTGCTTTGTGTCCCAAAATGAAATATTATTTGCATAGGAGTACCGTGAGATCAAAATCGTGAAGTGGATGAGAAAATGTGTGTAATGATTCCTCCTGGGAAAGGAACATTTTCTGACATGAAGACCTTCCAATAAAATAGGGAAAGTGTACCTCTTACTGAAGATTTTGTCAGATTGTATTTACTTTGAAAAACAACTTTATTAATACTTAATGAATATCTTACTTTCCCACTCACTGGGTGAAACCTTTCCTGTTCTAATGTTTCTATGTTCAAGCATGTCCTGGACGACTGAACAACTTGGAATATTTTTTTTCACTTTGAACAAAATCTCTTTTGAACAGTTTTCTAGACTGCTTGCCATGAAGCAACACAGCTCGGTTTTTGCTCATGGCAGAACTTTGGCCTGAAATATTTTTTCTGAAGAGTTGCTGAAGAAAAGTTGAATTGACTGCTTTGTCTTAAAGTATTAAATTTCTTCCAGTTTTTCTGATTTTCATGTGTTGTGATATTAAGTCAATATGTAAATAGTGGTTAACATTTGGATTTGGGATAGCTTAAGGATATGAAGGAAGTTTTCATTTCTGTCCCTCACCAAGACAGTGGTACGAGTGAATTCTCTTGCTAAGAATTTCAACACTTCACATGAATCGCCTCATGTAGACTTCTTATTACCCAGAATCTGGCAGTTACAGTAAGCTGAATTGTCCTGTAGTTGATTCAGCAACTGGCATGAATTCACTGACACTGATTTAGTTTTATAGTATCACTGAAACATAACTAAAGCAAGACCATCAAATGATGTAGGAACAGGAAAGCAAAATATCACGTGAAATATATGAATTAAAAATTCAGAATTGCTTATTTAGGTCATTAATAATGAAACATACAAGCATTTGGTTCAAATTTAAAAAAAAATGAAAAGAAAATAATTTGTTGGTGTGATGAATGGCCTTTCTGTGTTTTTAGTTTTCACCTCTGTACTTGTGTCCATTCACTTCTCTAATTCTCAGGGATAGTTTTTCTCTGTACTGCTGACCAGGAGCAGTTTGGTACCTGTTCACAGTTTAAAGAACATTTAATTTCTTTACAGATTTGCCCTCGACTGCCTAATTTCCTCAACCATTGACTTGGCTGTTTAGATTGCAGCCTCTTGCAGGAAGCTGTATGACTCAGTCTTGTTTGAGCCCTGCAGGTGTTACCACTGTGTAAGGAATTAATACCAACAGTAATAGTGAGCTTTTGCTTAACCACAGGAGGAAAACTTCTGAGCTGATTTTTGTGATTTGGGTTTTTCTCTATTGGATCTTTATTTTGAAGTATAAATCCTGCTGTTTGTTATTCATTCATAAGTAATCACATATTACATCAGACCGTTACAACATTATCTTTTTAAGAATCAGTTTCTGTTTTGCACTGAAATTATATATCTAAATTGTGTATAAATTATGAATAGTATAATGATACAGTTTTTCTATTGTATGTGTTGCAAGCATTTGTTTCCCACTTATTTTTCTTTGGTATCCAGGGACAATCAGACCAGACAAATACAAGATGCCGTTTCAAATGTGGAAAAACATTTTGGTGAATTGTGCCAGATATTTGCTGGATATGTACGTAAAACTGCCAGACTACGAGACAAAGCAGATCTTCTAGTAAATGAAATATATGCATATGCAGCTACAGAGACACCAAACTTAAAAGTTGGACTGAAAAACTTTGCAGATGAATTTTCCAGACTTCAGGATTATCGCCAGGCAGAGGTACAAAATTAAAACTGTACATGTTGCGTTTGCCATCTGAACTTTTCAATTACTTGTCTGTGATTAAAAGGGAAAAGATATACTCTGCAATCATGAGAGACATAGGAGAAAACATTTTAAAATATATTAGTGGCAGAGCAGGATAGGCTGCCAAAGCATCCATCATATACTCTGCTAATAACTTTCATGAAAACTGTCTGTGGTTAGTACTGTTGGAGTCAGTGAAAGTATCCATATGAGCACTCACAGAATTTGAGACAGAGCAAGTCTTTTGTTGGTCTTAGACTTTGAATTATGATTTATGGTTAATAAGGTTGTCGTGGTTTAGGGCTGGGCCGACCACTAAATCCTGGACAGACGCTCTCTATTAACGCTTCTCCCCTCCCCAGAAGGGAAGAGAAAAGAGAATAAGG